AGGCTCACGTTGGCGCTGAGTGCGGGCGAGCCCTGGTCGCGGGCCTGCAGGGTCAGCTCGAAGGCGCGCAGCTGCTCGTGGTCGAAGGCGCGCTGCGCGAACACCACCCCGCTCTGCGCGCTCACGGACACGTAGGACGCCAGCGCGCGTGGCTCCAGGTCGCTGGCCACGATGGAGTAGGAGACGCGACCGTTGGGCCCCACGTCGGGGTCGGAGGCGCTGACTTGGGCGATGGAGGCACCCGGAGGGTTGTTCTCGGCAATGTGGACCAAATAGAAAGCCTGTTCAAAAACTGGAGCATTGTCGTTGACATCTTCGATGTGCAGAGTGATACTTGAGCTGGAGGAAAGGGGTGGCTTTCCCCTGTCAGTGGCTGTGATAGTGACATTGTACGAAGGGGTCTTCTCCCGGTCCAAGGACCCATCTGTTACAAGCTTGTAGTAATTATTGGCAGAAGATTCAATTCTGAAAGGAACTGTTTCTTTTATGAGGCATGTGACCTCTCCATTTTGGCCCGAATCTTTGTCATGTGTTTTGAACAGAGCAATCACCATCCCGTGTTCTGCACCCTCGGTTATGGAATTAGACACTGAAGTGAAAATAACCTCTGGGGCATTGTCATTCTCATCTAAAATTTCTATTATAATTTTACATTCAGTGGCCATGCCTCCACCATCCTTGGCTTCTATGCTCATGGTATAACTACTCCTAATTTCGAAGTCTATAGGACCTTTGGATTTAATTTCTCCATTTTGATGGTCTAGCATAAACATATTTCCAATATCTCTTAGTGTTTTGAAGGAGTAGGTGATCTCTGCATTGATGCCCTCATCCTGGTCGATGGCTGTCACCTTGAGCACAGAGGTGCCCAAGGGCAAGTTCTCTGGAAGGCTAACTTTGTACACATCCTGACTGAACACTGGGGGGTTATCGTTGGCATCAGTGACCTCAATCCTGATTTGAATGGTGCCACTTCGGACTGGGTCACCCCCATCCATTGCGGTCAGGACTAGAAAATGGGAGCTCTGGTGTTCCCGGTCCAGGGGCTTCTCCAATATTAATTCTGGGGCATTCTTGCCTTCAATCTTATCCTTCACCATCAGAGAGAAATACTCATTATAGCTGAGTTGGTAACTCTGGAGAGAGTTAGGTCCTACATCTGCATCTATAGCGGATTCCAGACCAAACTGAGTTCCTAGAATTGCAAGTTCATTGATTTGTAAAACAATGCTATTTTGGGGGAAATACGGTGGATTGTCATTTATATCTTCTATCCTCACCGTTATATGAAAAACATTTAGAGGATTCTCTGCCACGATCTCTAGGGGCACAACACACAGGGTGCTTTGGGGACAGAGCGACTCCCTATCTATTCTGTCACTGACAAGTATGTTGCCATTCTCCCTGTTTATGGTAAAGTATTGTTTCTCTGCGCTAACTCTGAGGTTGCGGTTCAGTAAATCCCGTACATGCAGCCCCAGGTCTTCAGCAAGGTTCCCTACTACTGAGCCCCTGGCCATTTCTTCAGGAATAGAGTAGCGGATCTGCTCAGAGAGCCCCCCACAGAACAAAGGCAGCAGGAAGGGAAAGAGTACTTGCCGCTGCCCGGTATGGCTCCTCTGCTTCGCCCTAGTTCCCATCATTTTCTTCACTGCTGCAGCCTCAGATGTAACGAGAAGATGCTTTACAAATTGTGTTTAAAATATTTACTGCTAATGCGTAGAAAACTCAACACTCTGTTTCAAGGCATTCCATTCCATATTCCAGAATCATTTGCTGAGCAGAGAGCCCGAATCTGGACTTTATCTCCTTTCAGAACTGCTTCCGTGACTGCGCAGAAAACCACTTAGGTAGATCGTGGACTCCAGTTCTTGCAGCGCATTGGCCAACAGCGGCGCTCGGAGTCTACTTAGAAAACTGCAGTCCGAAGCCTTGCAAATAATGAGATTAGCTATTCTGACAGATTTGTTGGACTGATGTATAGGGAACCAGGCAATAGATGAGTTTTGGATGTGTCTATTTTCTAGTGTTTACTATCAAAGAAGGTTCCTTAGAGATTTGATTCTATAGAAGAGTCATTAACCCAGTATAGAAAAGTTTATCTTTTTCTAATCAGAGGCAGGGCATATACTGGAGGAATAAAGCAAAGTCTTCTCTCCAGACGTAGAACAAAGACCACATGGTAAAATAACCTCACCAAATGATATGGGGAAATTTTTACAGCCATGAAATAATACCCAGTATTAGCTTCAATCTTATGTGCAGATAATTTTCCTTCTCCTTTTTCCAGAGCAACTGGAGGACAGCTCAAAGGCATAATCAGGATAAGGATGACCAATGACATATAGCCTTCCTTGCTACTTCTAAAATAGATTTATGAAAGGGATTATCAACTATTGTACACCTTCACCATAAACAGAATATAAAAGCATACCCTAGTAGGTTACCATAGGAATTTAATGACATGCAAAAATGTGAGGTGTTCTATTTTTATCCTTCTCTTTTTTTTTTTTAAGATTTTATTTATTTATTTGACAGAGAGAGACATAGCGAGAGCAGGAACACAAGCAGGGGGAGTGGGAGAGGGAGAAGCAGGCTTCCCGCAGAGCGGGGAGCCCGATGTGGGACTCGATCCCAGGACCCCAGGATCATGACCTGAGCCGAAGGCAGACGCTTAACGACTGAGCCACCCAGGCGCCCTTATCCTTCTCTTTAACTGGACCACATGTTGTACCATAACAGAACTTTATCACTACCTCTGAGTCAAAATAACTGTCTTAATCTCAAGTTTCAAAGCTAACCTTTCCTTTTTGTTCTCCAAGATTTTGGTTGCCAGCTCCTAACTGTTCAGACAGTGTTTTAAAATATATATATATGGAACAACCTCCTTCTCCCCACAAATACCTCATATCCTTTTTATTCATCTAATTTCAATTCAAGTAAAATGCCTTAAGTCTTTTTTTTTTTTTCTGTTTGGAATTCCATAGGCATAAAATTTATCCCTACATGCTTAAGGCACTCTGACATTTTTTTTGACGTTGGGACAAATTTAGGCATCTGTTGCAGGATTTCCCTTTCCTACAGTTGAAATTCTTTTTGCCCAAACATTAGACACTCAATTATAGTTAAATATATTAAGGTCAATCCCTAAATGAGAAAGGAAAACTTGAAAGGGAACCTGAACATGTAAATAATCTGGGTCAAATGTTTCTAAGCGGTATGAAGAGTGCTAAGCTGAATTGATTGTGATGATTCCTGTGATCAAATATCCTCAAAAATTTCCTTTCCTCACTTGACTTTCCTCGACATTGTTTCAGATAACATGTAGGTCATTAGGTAACTACAGGGCTTCAATTACAAGTTGGTTCTGAATATAAGGATTGAATATACTTACATATAATACAAAATGAATTTTCAAAGGAAATTAAAAAGGAATCCATGACTCACAGGCATATTGAAAACAGAACAAAAAAAGGAAATACCAAATAGGAATACCAGCTAAATCAGTCTCATAAGGTCCAAATAACTACTGCATCTCTTATATTTACAAGCTGGTCCACATCAGTAAATCTCAAAAATGTAAGCATGTTTAGCCAATTTGTAAATAGCTTTTTGAGAAGCACTGGATCAAAATTATTTCTGCAAGTGAATTTACCACATTAAAGAATCATGAACACACACTAAAGTACCAGTAAAAGAATAAAAGGAAATAATACCAGTTCAACAATTCAACTACTCAGAACAATCAAATGACTGCATTGTAGAAACAGAAAAGATGTCTAGAACTTGAGGGGAAAAAAGTGTACATTTTCTCTCCCAAGAGAATCTAGTAGTAAAAAGGTAGTCAATATATCTGTTTTGGTAGTATAAATAAAAGAAAGTTGAAATAATCAACATAATTTAAACATATCACCACCCATCAAAGATCAAAATAGAATTCTTTCATGCTCAGAGAAGAGCTTACATCTGTAAACACCTACATGTAAGTGTGTGTATATGTGTGTATAGATAAGGAAAAGAGCTACAGAGTGTATCCCACTGAATGAAGAGGGCCAAATTTGAACATTAGAAGTAAAGCAAATAATGGTAGAATATAATTATGAATTAGGGAAGGCAATGTGAAGTCATAATAGGGAAATAATAAAAACTGTGAATCATTAATTTGAATCCTAACCAGTTTACATTGATAGTCACAGACACTGATGATAGAAAAATATGACTAAAATTTAACTTACTATAAAGCAAGCCATGATAGTTGAACTAGACCTTTAGAATCAAAAGAGAATATACCACAGGGGAGGAAAAAACTTTCTGAAAAATGATGGTAATTTGTTGAAAGATAAAGTACAGGAACTCACATGTATTTCTCTAAATATGTATGAACTGAATATGTCCCCTCCCCCCACACTCAAAACAGGGTTGGTTTTGGTTTTGGTTTTTTTATGTTGTTTTGTTTTGAAAAAGCCATTTAAAAGACTTGTGCGGAGATACTAGCAACTCAGTCAGGTAATAAATCTCACCTGATTATTCGTGGAGTCAAGATTGCCTAAACCAGCAGCTGAATCTTCAGCTATCAAGAGTGGCTCGCTTTTCCCACAGCTCTCCTGGCTGATGAGCGTGTCCACATAGTTGGGCTGGGGGAAGATCACGTGACTCTTCCGCGAGTCCGCGGTCAGGGAGACCTCGTGGGAATAGGTCTGCAGGAAAGCCCGCACCCCGTCCACGCCCACAAAGTGCGAGGCCGGCACGCCCACCAGCCCGCCTCCGGAAGCCTGGAGCAGACGCGACGCGTGCCAGCGCCTCAGCCTGAGCGCCAGCAGCACGATGACAAAGGCCAGGAAGACGCACGAGACTGCCGCCACCGCCACCACCAG